TTTTTTTATTAAAAAATTGTTTGTAAATCTGCAAAAGAAATTTTACAAAAAGATGTTCAAAATCTTGTTTTAAAAAAAAAAAATTTGCTAGATGGCAAGCTATATTATTTGTCTTTGATTTTGAAATTAAATTCATTGTCTAATTTTCTTACTCGGAAATTTTTGCAGGGTAATGGTAAACCATAAACCCAAACCTATTATACCTCCTAAATATATTCCTTTTAACCATACCCTTAATTTATATAAACTTAGAAAAATAATTTTTTTTGTCCCAACACAAAATAAACAATTTAGAATTCATAAATAAACACCCTCGTTTATTCACAAAAGATGATAGAGAATACTGGAACACCCTAAATTCAAAAGCCCGTTCAAAATTAAAAGAATTAAAAAATATATCAAATTATTTTATTGCTTAACTATAATTTTTCTTCTTTTAGGTATGACCGTTCCAACTCAACCTACAGCTCAAAAGGCAAAAGATTATGAACTCATCCGAAAAACAGTGATTCCTACAAACAACAGGTTTCAACCATTTTACGATTTTCCCCCACTAACCTATATTCAAGCTACCCAATCTTCTCAAAATCAAACTATTTCGAAACCACAAAATCAACCTATGGAAAAAACTCAAATTCCCTATACTCCACCTAGACAACCAACTAATTTATCATATTTTACAAAAAATATTACTGAACATGTCACATTAACCCGATTCAAAGATATCCCTAACATAGATACCCTCAAACAATTCACCCAAAGAATTTCCCAACAGGATGTAACTGGAGCACATATGATCTCATCAAAATCCAAAAGTTTTATGAACTCATTTTAGTAGATTATGATTCAATTGAACTCACACATACTAAAGATTCTCAAAATCCAGACCGCGTAGCTTATTCAAAATGCATAATAAAAAAGGTGTGTTCCCAACGAGAATGAGCTTCCCCCTTTTCCACAAAAATGTTTTCAGTAATTTTTTCTCCAAAATGCTATACATATCATGACTATCTGATGGCATGGTATAGAACATTTATATTACAACCATTTGATCATTCATGATTTTTTACTTTTCATTCAAATTGTTTTAAAAAATTTCCCAATATGGTTTTACCACTGGTGGGCATTTTACAGCCCAGAAAATGATATAATTCCTCCCGAGGTTCAACTTGGTTTTCAACTTTTCAACAAAAAGTCCAAAGACGAAGAATTTCATAAGCCAACTATTTCACGTTGAATTCAAAGTTCCATGGATATTTTGTTGGTCCTTCAAATTTTTGCAGGCTTTCGACAAACCCAATTCATTATCACTGGTCCAAGAATTGAAAATCAAATGGTGGAATCAATTCAACACCCAGTTTTGTGATCAACAAGCAGTAGGCCATTTTTTCCAGAAGGGTGAAAAGCTAACAAAAGTATTCAAAGAAAATTTCAAAAAATCCGTCATCCACTACTCAAAGCAAAAAGTCATTATCCATTCCACAGGATAAAAAAAAATAAATTCTAGAAGTATCAAAGGAACCACCTGCTCCAAAAATCCCGAATAATCAACAACATCAACAAATATTCAAATTCATGGAAATGATAGGTAGCAATTCCCAATTCATAGAATTCATTACAAATCAATAAAACAAAGTCCACGTCGATTCTGATGCGACAGAGGGATCAAGTTGTGATCAATTCGGAGGACCATTAGCTCAAGATCCATTTGATATGCAACATATTATTTTATATAAAAATATATATATTTATAAATATATATATATATAAGTAACAATATATATGATATATCAATATAAGATAGATAAGATATATATCTTATCCATAAACTTAAAATAATATATTCTAGATTTAGAAAATAAAAAATCATATCCTAGATCTAGTTTTGCTATTTTTAGCTATTCTTTACCTATAAATAAAGAGAATGATTTCATTGTAAACACACTTGCTAAACTCAAGAGCATAGATTTTGAAAAAAATCTTTCTTTCTACTTGTCCACCTTGCAATCTAAAGAATCAATAAAGAAGTTTTTATTCAAGTAAGTTTGTCCTGTACTTTGTTCTTATTCTTATTATTGTTTTTATTCTTAATTTTGTTCTTCTAAGATATATATATACATATAATTATACTATATACAATATGGTCGGCTCCGCCACCTATTTCTAACTTTTGGGTATAAATTATTTTAAAAATTTATTAAATATATTTGAATATTTTAAGTTAAAGTAAAAAATATATTTTTAAAATTTAGGTATTTATATTTTAAAATTTTAATTTAAGGATAATATATATTTAAATAAAATTACAATCTAATATTAAACTATTAGTATTTTACAATTTATTTTAAAATTTGATAAATTATATTTAATAATTTTAGTATAATCTTAAAAAATTATATACTCCTATTTAAAATTCGTATTTCAGTCATAATTATAAATTTTAATTCAAGTATAACATATAAATTAAAAATAAAAATGTAATTATATTTTTAATTTTTATTAAAATATAATATATAAATTAATTATTTTAATATTTTATAAATTATTTTTAAAATTTATTAGATATATTTAAATATTTTAAATTAAAGTAAAAAATATATTTTTAAAGTTTAGGTATTTATATTTTTAATTTTTAATTTAAGAATAATATATATTTAAATAAAATTATAATCTAATATTAAACTATTAGCATTTTACAATTTATTTTGAAATTTCATAAATTATATTTAATAATTTTAGTATAATCTTTAAAAATTATATACTCCTATTTAAATTTGGTATTTCAGTCATAATTATAAATTTTAATTCAACTATAACATATAAATTAAAAATAATAATGTAATTATATTTTTAATTTTTATTAAAATATAATATATAAATTAATTATTTTTATATTTTATAAATTATTTTTAAATTTATTAAATATATTTAAAGATTTTAAATTAAAGTAAAAAATATATTTTTAAAATTTAGGTATTTATATTTTAAAATTTTAATTTAAGGATAATATATATTTAAATAAAATTACAATCTAATATTAAACTATTAGTATTTTACAATTTATTTTAAAATTTAATAAATTATATTTAATAATTTTAATATAATTTTAAAATATTATATACTCCTATTTAAATTTGTTATTTCAGTCATAATTATAAATTTTAATTCAAGTATAACATAATGTAATTATATTTTTATTTTTTATTAAAATATATATATATATAAATTAATTATTTTTATATTATTAGTATTATACTATTGTATTTATTATTATTATTATTATTATTATTATTATTATTATTATTATTATTATTATTATTCAATCTGTTTACTAAATATTTTTCAATGAAACAATTCCTCATAAATATTATTTAAAAAAATATAAATATACACACATTAATATAATATATACATTATCAACTCATAAAAAGTCATCAATTCATCTAAAAACGCTGAGCGATCATAATAAATTATTAAAGATAAAACAACAATTTTAAGTAAATAGTGCTAAAAAACACTTTTCAACTCATACAGAAGCCAATGCAAATATGTATAAAATAATTTTTTAGAAGTAGAAATCAAAAGCTCTCACCAAAGTTTATGAAAAGTGACCTAAATAAATTTAAATAATGTTGATTTTTTATTAAATATAATATGAAAACATTTTTATATATAAATTAAAATGATAAAATAAATACATTTTTAGTGGATAAAGAGGATATTAATTTTTTATTAATTGTTTTGTTTTTAAATAGTTAACATTATATTAAAAATTATTTACCTAAACAAACCAAAATCAAATAAAAAAACAAATGACTTGTTTATTATTATTATTATTATTATTATTATTATTATTATTATTATTATTATTATTTACTCTTTATTTAAATAATAATTTGAATATAATATTTCATAAAAAAAAATAATATATTTTTTATAAAAAAAAAATTATGATTATTGTACAATAAAACTTCAACTTCAAGTAAATAAATACTTTTATTAAACGAATAATCACTTTAACAAAATATTAAATGAAGCCGTTATATGATATAGTTGTCCATGAATTTGAGATTTTGAATTAGAAATTTGTTATGATATATTTATATATGATGTGATATTATAAAAGGTAAAATTAACTTTTTAATGTAATATAAAAATACGAATATGTTTTTATTTGATATTTTTTGGATAAAAATAAATATATAATAAAATTTGAATTAAAAATTCATAAACAAATATAGCTCATGTAAATACAACACTACAAAAAAATAATATATTTGTAACGGAATTCCGTCTCTAATGTTCACGTAGTTAACATAATTCCATTCCTAATTCCGTCTCTAATGTCATTAGTAACGGAAAAAGTAGATTTAGAGACAAAAAAAAATTTGTTACAAAAATGATTTTTTCTTGTAGCGCAAGATACAAAAAACTTAAACTAAATACACCAAAAAAAAAAATTGTTCTTTTTGCATTTTTTAAATTTATTTTATCATGTAGTTTTGTTATTTTTAATAAAAATATATTTATTTTTTTATATATATAAATATCATATCTAACCACTATAATAATAAAAATAAAAGATGACTGTTATTATATTGATATATAAAATTCATAATGACTACACACAACATAAGGGCATACATTACAAGATAGAAAAATTGAAATTTCGTGGAGGAATTATAATATTATACTATTGAATAATTATTGGCGGCTCTTAGCATGATTAGAGTGAACAATTGCTCAAGATCCAAAATTTGGAAGGACTCATATTTGAAAATTTTGATTTATTCTTAGATATATTAAATTTTAAATTTTATTATATATATATTTCATAATTACTCAATTCAATTTTAATTCTAAAAAAACTTTAAATCCTAATCAAATATTTTTTCAAACTTTTATATTTTCTTTTTAATCATATCTACCAATCTTTCTAAATTGCAAATATAATCCTTGTCCACCCACCCATAAATTTTGTAACGAATGATATATTTAGGGTTCATAGTAGTTATTATTATTATTATTATTATTATTATTATTATTATTATTTGTGTTGTTATTATTATTGGATTATTATTTTTATAATAGTCAATATTTTTTATTTATTTTCGACTGATGATATATTTTATACGTATGACCGTTTATTGAATGTATAATTAAAATAATTTTTATTTTTTTGGAATTTATTATTATATTTATTAGTGATATTATTTTAAAAATATATTTATCGTATATTTATAGGGCGTACAATTTAGCTTTTGCTCAAAGCCCTGTAAAAGTCCGAGACTGGCTCGTGAATAATATAATATGCAAATAAATACAATTATGTAATACTTTCTGAATTTGTAAAACTTAATATGATATATTTTTTAAAAAAACTATTTAGTATCATAATTTTGTTTTTCTAAAAATAGTATTGATAAATAATGCATTTTTCTAAAAAAAAAAAATAAATTAGGCATGTAAACAGAATTTCTATTTTTAAAACCTTCATTCAATGAAAAACACATCTATAGCACGGATAAAAAGGAAAAGCAAAAACTTGAGTTCGAATCGAACATCATTACAACCCAACGCGATCTTAACTACACCGAAGCCAGCAACCTTAAATTCAATCGTCGAAGCCAAACAGAGTGAAGAATCATGTGAAAAAGATCGAACCTTTTAGGATCTCCATTGACGACAAAATGCCTTTGCACTTGCTTTACTCTTTTTTGCATTTTCAAATATTTAGCCTCAGAAATTCCCTCCAAAATCACCTTGATATTTGGAATATCCTCTATTTTCAGAGTAATTGAGAACTTTTTCCAATTCAAAACATCGCTAAATGGTGGGACATAGCCGTTTGATATCAACACCGGAATGCACTCTGCATAGATCGCCTCGACAACGCGAGGGCTAGCGACTTCATACCCACTAGGGCAAAGGCAAAACTTGCTATTCTTAAGCATCGACTCATAGGATGGCCCATCCGAAGGGACATTTTTGTAGACACGGATGTCGGGGTCTTTTTCATGCCATTCGCTTAGTAGTAGCTCTCTTATGTGGCCGTGAAGGCCCCCGGCAAAGAAGGCGAGTATGGGTCGTCGCGACGGAGGGGACCCACCTAGAAGGCCGGTGATTTCTCCGGTCTTGAGGTTGATTTCGGGCAATGAGACATCTTTTAGGGGATTAAATCCTTCGGAAGTATTGGCATTGCATAGAACTCGTATAGAGTTGTTGAATAGGAGCGGCGCATATGAACTCGAGTGAGGTGCCTGAGAAAGTTTTCCGGCTATACAAATTACCATAATGAAAGTAACAATAACCTATAGTTTGAACTATAAATTCTACTTTCTGTCCCACTTTACTTGTCCGATTTTCTGTAAATTTGATAATGTAGGTAAAAGTATAATTAAGTAAATAATTAATAAATGTTTTTATAAAATAATTATTTTATAATACAAATAGTTATATATTAAGATTAAAATGACTAATTAATTTAATTAAATTTAAAAAAAATTAAAATATGATTACATTGTATAATTATTTTTTAAAAGAAAAAGAGATCAATTATATTGGATGAAAGAAAAATAGAAAATATAAACAAATTATATGGGACAAAAGAAGTATTTTATATTTACCCTTGCGATAATAAAAAAAAATGCATAGAATTTCTATATTTCTATATAGGGTTTTGTGCATAATTTTCGAAAATACGATGATAAATTACGCAGTAAAATTTATATACTTTGTGCGTATACTTACCCAATCATGGCAAGATAACATGAAGTGATCGGCGCCAAGGCTTCGATTCCAAAAGGGGTGTTTGTGTGAAATAGTGTCAACATAATCAGATAGGGTGCGCCCGATAGGATCCATGTCAATTGCACCGGGCACGTATAAATATTGAACCATCACGACCACACTAAACGGCATGAAGTACACGTGAGCCTCTTCGGGGTCATGTGTCCGATATCGGCTCCCCTTCTCCATTTCGTGGATGAACCGCCCTTCCGATGAGTATATGCTACGGCAAGGCCCGTTGTGGAAGATCGGGGCGTCGCCTTCTTTGTACACATAGATTTTGAAATTTTTTTCCATTTCAACGTAACTCCTATAATATTTTAAAAATAGTAAAAATTTCAAATATAAATATAGGTTTGAAATTTTAAAATTTATTCCATAATTATCCCCTATTTTTTAAAATTTGTTGATATTGAGTTAGTAGTAAATTCTTTTCAAAACTCACGACGAGATGCTTAATTATGTAATTATTTTTATTTTCATATTATTTAATTCATAAAATACTTTAAAAAGTATCTCTATTTATCTATCTATATAGTTTGTAACGCTTTCAATTCTTACATCTATGTCTTAATAAGAGTTTATATAAAAAAAATATTTTATGTTGTCTTTTGTGAGAAAATACGTATATATATTGAGTATCGTGTCGAAAAATAATATAAGGCAAACAAACCCTCATATTCTCGATAACAAATAATAAAAATCTAACAAGTTTCTAAATTAATATGTACCGATAAAATGAATTTGCATTTCGATAGATTGCACCATGAGGAATGTAGTTTTGTGGATCTTGATTGTTATTTCGTGTCATAATGAAGCTCTTATTGTTGCTTTTAGCAGCTTCTTTTATGGAAAGTCGGACTTTAGATAACACGCTTTCGATCTTCCACACCCCATCTCTTACAAAGGCGTGTTTCACTATTTCCTCTTTTTTCTGATCATTTGAACACATTATAGTTGTTAATAACATTTCATTCAAAATAAAAATAGCATCGTACCAAATGTATATTTTAAAAAAATAATAATATATAACAATACCGTAATATCAATAAACAAATGGAAATTAAAGACAAGAAAGAAAGAAAAACATTGTAATAGCTTACAAAGTCACGATACAACGAGCCCTTCATCAAAACCCGAGCATTCGATCCATCCAAAATATTATTACCATCACGGCCGTGATCTTGACCTCGATGCTCGACCCCCAACGAATTACCAAACCAAAACAAGCTTAGAAACCCTAGAGTTTTCGGAGGAATTAGGGTTTTTTGATGGGCGAAATTGGTAGCAAGAAAAGAAACAATGGCTATTGGGATTAGGAAAAGGAAAATCAACAATGAAGGGGAAGATGAAATGTATGAGAACGATCTATACAAATTTTTCGAGGAACTCATGATCCAAAACTGGATAGAACTAGAGAATGTACTCACAAACTAACATTTCATCGTTCTTTGAGAAATTGAAAACGACATTCATTACTTGGAAATTATGCAAACTACAAGAGCTTTAAGAGCTGTACGATTCTTTGCTGCATCATAATAATATTCTCCCTTTACGTGTGTGTGTGTATACATATATATATATATAGAGAGAGAGAGAGAGAGAGAGAGAGAGTGAGTGAGAGAGAGAGAGAGAGAGGTTATTATGAATGCATGGGGATCTTCGGATGGTTTTCTTAAAGGGAAAGGTTCTAGTTTTGAAATACACACTATCAAAAATTTGTTATTTTGCCTGAAATTTTAATTAGTTTATGTTGTTCGTGGGGGTTTTTGATTCAGACTATTATATAGTCATTGACATTTTAAAAAAATAAATAAATCAAATAAAATATCTATTTTTTATTTTTATATTATACATTCCGTCTCTTCCCTCAACATTTTTAAATGAATTGATTTTTTTGTGTATAGTATGAAAAACTGTGTTGGTAATATAAAAAATAATATTTTTTGTTAAATACTGGACTTTTTATGAGTGGATAATATATATTATATTAGTGTGTGTATATTTTTATTATTTTAATAATATTTATGAAGAATTGTTCCATTGAAAAATATTGAGTGAACAACCTGAATCCGTTTGCAAAATCAAATATTATGGGAGTGCATTTTTAAATATATTTATTATATAATAAAATTAATTGAAAATCAAAGTTCGAAACATCCCATATATTAATTATCTTTTTATTATTAATAATATAAAATTAATTTGTGTGGATGCATGATTTAGGGCTCATGATCCGATCCATACACATTCTTATCATCAATTTTCTAGGAATGATACACAAATATTATATATATACATATATTTATGTGTAGTGGTAGTGGTTGCACATGCATAATTCCTACATAAATTAAAAATGATAAGGAGAAGAATACAAAATTTACTTCTTAATAAAAATTTACTTCTAGTCCCAATTTAATGTATCAGTTTCATCTTTTTTATTTTTATTAAAAAATACCTTATTTACATTATAACAAAAATAATCCATAAGGTTAAAGATTCAAATATCAGACGGATTCATGTATTGCATTCGTCTATTATAATTAATCTCGTCGGACCTAATTTGCAAATTATTAGGCCCGGTCAAGAGTTTATCCAGAGCACACTCGAACAGTAACGATTGCGTATTCTCATGTCATACAAAAAGTATATAAATACTAAAATACTCATAATTTTACAAAAATATTATTATTATTTTTTTAATTTATAACGACAAAAAATTAAAATTAGTTTACATATTTTTTATAACCAATACAATAGTATTATTATTTATTAGTCCACTATATATATAATGATTCATTCTAATGGAATGGAAGAACTATTATTTTCTTTCATAAAATTTTATTTAAAAAAACGTAAATTCTAAACTTTAAGATTCATTTTTAATACTATATTTGTCCACCGTCAATTTATTCATTTATTTTTTACATCTTAATATTTGAATATTAATTATTATATCAAAATGTAGTATAAAACAAAGAAAAAGTGTTTTATAATACTAATGTAATGATATTTGTACAAAAAAAATATAAAAGTATAAAAATATTTTTAATATTAAAAATAATGACGTCAAATACAGATAATGGATTAACGGTGGACGGAAGTAGTATAATGTTTTGTTATAAAAGTATTTTAATATTTTTTAATAATGTAATTAAGGAAAGGTTGAGAGTACAAATAAATTCAAGACCATGTGCTACGTACTATATGAAACATGTAGGAGTGTGTTTGGTCTTTCCTTTTTTCTTTAAAATAAATAAATAAATAAATAAATTATAACATCTTATTGTACTTTTAAATTCCTTTTTTCTTTAAAAAATAAATAAATAAATAAATTATAACATCTTATTGTATTTTTAAATAAAAATGTATAAAATATTTTATTTGCTTAAAACTTTCTTATGTTAAATTTAAATTTGTACAAAATATTTTTTTTTTGTTCAAAGCTAATGTTTGATTATAAATACAAATTTAATTACTCAAATTTAATACAAATAAAAAATATAATATATTAAATAAAATTTTTTAATAAAATAAATATATAAATAATTGATTAATTCTTCACTCCATAGTTTTTTTTTGGAAACATAATTGGTTGGTATTGGAAGAGTAGAGTAGATAGAGGGCAGACTAACAAAACTCCTTATTTACAACAAATATCACCGATTTTATCACACACTCTTTTCATTTTTTCTTTTTAAAAAATTAAATTAAATTTTAAAAAATATCTCAATTATTATTGCATTATTCTACATATCATGTCAAGATTTTCCTTTCTATCCGTCTCACATTTTATATCATTTTTTTTAAAAAAAAATATTACACATTTTCACTATATTTTAAATTTTCAAATTATAATTTTTTATTTTAATTACACTAATTAATTATTTTAGTCTTAATTTTTTTATTATTTTTATTATATCTTAATTACCTTTTCTAATATTTTCTTAATTATTTATAAATTATATTTTTTCTAAATTTTCGTGTAAAACACTATATTTGGTATAGATAGAATATTATTTTTAATAAAATATTTATATTTTAAATCGTCAACCTAAATGAACTAATTTACAGAACAGAAAGAGTATGTGACTTGACATTAAATGCCATTTAGTTAAAGAAAACATATTACCATTAATCTCAAAGTAAAATGTACTTTAATACAACACCACCTATTAAAGATGAATTGAAAGCACATTATAACTTTTGCGTTATTTTAAATATTTAATTTTAGATTTAATAAATTTATATTTAAATTTGATCTTATTCATATATTAGATTATTTAAATTTGAGTCTATCGAGTATATTTTGTATTGTCTATACATAGACTCTTTGTTTTGATGATTAATACGATAATCTCATTATTTTTCCCCAAAATTTTTAACATGTTATCAGAGCCTATTTTTCTCATGCCGTAAATATAGCCTACCAACTCGTGTTTCTCCCGGTAGATTCAACCTGGATTGTACCAGGAGGTCTTGTGATTTTGAGATCATGCATTTGCAACTATGTCTTTTTGCAAATCGGTCTCGTCTGCGATCTGTCATCCGCTGCTTGTCTGTTGCCTGCGTGCGATCTGAAATTTATTTGCGATCTGCCATTTGTCTGTGCTTGTCTGTTGCCTGTGTGCGATCTGTTTGGTGTTTGCGATCCATATCATTTTCGGCTCCGGTGGAATCATCTTGTTTTCAGCTCCCGTGGAGTCAAGTTGTTTTCGGCACCCGTGGAGTCATCTCGTTTTCGGCTCGGTGGAGTAATCTTGTTTTCGACTCCGGTGGAGAGTCATCACATTTTTTTATCAAACTCAAGTTGGTTACTACTATACCACTTGAGTTTGAGGGATATTGATATACTTTAGATATTTAGTTTTAGATTTAGTAGATTTATATTTAAATTTGATCTTATTCATATATTATATTACTTAGATTTCAATATATCGTTTGTATTGCCTATACATAGGCTCTTTATTTTGATGATCAATACGACAATTTCATTATTTTCCCCAAAATTTCTAACAATAACAATTTACGCAACACTTATATTAATTGAATTCATATATATTAATGTACTGTCTCCGTCCCGCTGAGAGAGATCCTTTCGTTATGATATAATATTTTAGATAGTGTAAATTAATAATTATTAATAATTAATTATGATATTATTTTATTATTTTTTATATAAGTAGTGTTGTTAATATTTTAAATATTTTTAGAATTATATCTTAATAAAATATCTATAAATATCATTTTGTAGATAATAAAATTTTATATAATATAAATAAATAAAAAATATATTTATTTATTTATAATTAACTTAAAATTAAATTTATAATAAATGAGAAGTTTTAAATATAAATAAAAATAGATGAGATATATAAAAGTAAATGAATTTTGAATGGATCTAGATATAAGAAGCTAAAAATTAATTAAACTAATTTATATTTGTTAAACATACTTACAATTAAAAAAAAAAAATCATTTGTCGTGAAGTATTAATAAATAATTTTTTAAAATAATACTCCCTCCGTCCCAGATACCATGTCCATGTTGGCGTTTCTGTCTGTCCACATACTATGTCATTTTCCTTTTTTGGAAAATGATTACGCACTTTAATCTCATTTTAAATTTTTATATTTTATTTTTTTTTAATTTTAATTAAACTAATTAGTTATCTTAATCTTAATTTATAATTATTTATATTATAAGATAATTATTTTCACTAATACATTTTTAATTATCTACTAATTACATTCTCCTAAAATACCGTGTCTACAGTGTAGCAGACCCGGTATCCGGTTCGGATGGAGTAATAATTTATATGATGAAGTCAAAGTGACGTCATTTCGTACCGTTTGGGACAAGTGATGATTTTGTCAAAGTCTATAATAAATACTCCAATGTAGGCAGATAGACTTACCTATTTAATTAGGTAATGAATTATTTTATTATTATTATTATTATTTAAAGAAAAATCAAAACAATCAATTAAATTACAATTCTTCCACATAAGAGTAATTAATGTCATGCTAGAATAATATATTTTTATTTAAAATATAAATTTGACATATGTAAAAATAAAATTGAAAATGTAACTCCCAAAGTGCTTAGAGATTGGAGTTTGGATGATTCGTTAAGGCAACGAATGTAGCACTTTATATTTACTTTATTTATTATTTTTAAAAAATAATAATTAGTAATTTCGTACTTAGGAATATTTTAATATTATTTAATACTTCCTCCGTCTCAGATACCGTGTCTGCTACACTGTAGATACTGTATTTTAGGAGGGGTGTAATTAGTAGATAATTAAAAATGTATTAGTGAAAATAATTATCCTATAATATAAATAATTAAAAATTTAAGATTAAAATAACTAATTAGTTTAATTAAAATTAAAAAAAATAAAATTTAAAAATTTAAAATGAGATTAAAGTGTGTAATCATTTTTCAAAAAATGAAAGTGACATGGCATCTGGGACGGACAAAAACGGCAACGTGGACATGGTATCTGGGACGGATGGAGTAATTAATTG